AGGACAGTCTAGCCTGGCACTCAACTTTGGGAGCTTTCTTCTAGCCTCCTCCATCCTTACAGGCTTTCTTGGTCTTCAGTTGCCCCTTTTGCAGGTTACTTTCATGATACACAATATTTGAGCCAATGAGCATGCCTTGCTTCCTTGTTTGGAACACCAAGCATGGAGAAATTCACCTAAACATGAATTTGCATCCTTTGAGAAAAATACAAAGGGTGGTGGCCAGTGTAACAGAGGGAGCCGTGGCATAAAGATCAACTCTGTCTATGCTCAGTCCAAAAAAAAAAAAAAAAAAGAGTTGGGTGTGGTAGTGCATGCCTTTAATCCCAGCACTTGGGAGGCAGAGGCAGGCAAATCTCTGTGAGATTGAGGCCAGCCTGGTCTACATAGTAAGTTCCAGCCCAGCTGGGTTTGCAAGGAGACACTGTTTCCAAAAACAAAAATCAAATCAAATCAAACCAAAACAAACCAACCAACCAACCAACCAACCAACCCACCAACCCACCAACCCAAATCCTAATCAACCAAGCAATCGACCAACCAATGAACCAATCAATGAAACCCTTTCCACACAGCTTTCTTCATGAGAGATGTGGCTAGCAGATGCTGGCAGAGAAGAGGTCATAACTTCCATGCACACAGCCTTTCTGTGTGGACCAGTGATGACACCTGGTGATTATAAACTGTCATGTTCTCTTATACAACTTGCTCACTGTCTAGCCTGGGAGTGGCTACATTTAGGAATTTAGGACCTATGGAAAAGGATGTTAAGGAAGGACTTTCTAATGTGAAAGGATTCTGTGATGGTTAGTGGTACAACTTGGCAGGCTCTAGACTCACCCAAGAGCTAAGCTTTTAGGCATACCTATGAGAGATTAAGATTTGGTTAGTCTCCTGGCATCCTGATGAGGGATTATCTTAAGTTAATTGAGGTTGGAAGACTTACTGGAAAGGAGGATGATGCCATCCCTAGGACTCGGTCCTAGATCACATCAGGAGGAAGCTAGCTGAGCACAAGCATTCACTGCTGTTTGCTACTTGAGTATGAATACAATGTGACTAGATGCTGCGAGCTGTTGCCAGCAGGACTTCCCCTCAGTGATCAACTGTACCTTGAACTGTGAGCCGAAACGAACCCTTCCTTAAGTTGATTTTGTCAGGGCAGTGAACTAAAACATGCTAAATACTAGAACAAATTGCCCAGGTGAGTGAATACTATTTCCCATGATTGGTAACAACAGCATACTCATCGACAATCAGGACTTTGAGGTTCAAGTGTTGCTCTGTCCAGAGAGGGGTCGGACCAAGTGACCTGTTTCCTTCAAGTCTGCAGGTCCAATGGAAAGTATTTCTAATACAAATTAATACTGTTTCTTTTTTCCTCTCTTGTTTTTTCTCCTTAATTTACACTTCCAATTTTCACTGTCTATAATGTGCTACCGGGTTTCCCTCCCACTAAAAAACACATGTGAAAGTGAGAATATTCTGCTTGAGAAAAGATAGTCTCTGGGGTTTTGCTTCTGGCTTGGAGGCCTATGAGGTAGGTGTCATGAAACCTCCTCCACAGCAGGCTAGGGTGCCAGCGAGCCTCAGTAGGATCAGCAGCTCTCCTGCTAATTTTGGTAGGAGAGGGAGACACTCAGATACTTTGAGAGGAAAGGAGGTAAATGTGATCCACTTGCAAATCAAGATAGAATGCGATTTTAGACCAGATATTGTTGGTCTTGTTTTATTATCAAACTTATTAGGATAACGGTAATCCAAGTTCATCCTTCTTAACCAGACAATTGCTCTTTCCATCTTGGGTGGGAGGGGATGTATCAAAAAGGAGGGGAGGGAAGGGCCAGTCAGGGCATGGTGTTAGGGTGTGTGACCAGTGCTCTTGATGGCCAACACTGGTATGGTAGCACTGGGTGAGGATTTATAGAAAGGCATAGGAAGAGGAAGAGGAGGAAGACAGGTTAGCAGGTGAGGCCTAGGAGCTCATATGTCAGATTTTAAGCAGGGACGCTGTAGGGGCCCTAGGGACATGAACTTACAGAACATGACACTCAAATAATGGAGGAACACTGGGCAAAACAATGGCCTTTTGGTCTTCAAAGTAGGAAGGAGATTAACCTAGAACTTTCTTTTTTACTTATTAAAATAAGTTTACTTAGTAGAATTCACCAGCATACATGCTTTCTCAAGCCACGATGACTTCATGGCCTAAGTGACAATTTTATATTCCTTTGGAAAATTGAATTAGCATATTCAAGGCAGCAGAAAATTATCTTTGACTAGTAGATGTTATTTCTACATCATTCTTTGCCTAAGAAAATAATGACTCTGAGACTTAAATTTGACAGCTAAGAGTAATGGATCAACCCATGGCTTTGATGGTCTCAGTAACTTTCTTTGGTGTTTTTATGTGCACTAATTCATTTAATTCTTGTAAAAACTTTGTGAGATGATTCAGTGCTAAGCTTTCATTTAACAGATGAGGAATCTGAAGACTGAGAGATTGAATAAGGTGTTTGGGTTATGACTGGCATGTGGATTCAGCAGTAGTTAACTAAGAGCTCTCTGTCCTACCTTCTACCTCTCCCTGAGGGTCCGTAGAGTAGGACAACTTGGGCAGTGCTGTCATTCTGGGCAGAATTAACATCACAGTGCTGTAAGAGATCTGTCTGGAGCACTAGAGTGTGAATGAAGAGTCTTCGATTCCATCAAGTATAAAATGGGTCAATAAGACAGGTCGCTTATTGGATGATGCTATTGGGAATTAGAAACCAAGCAGAATCCCTGTCTTTATAATTCCTCATTGCTAGATAATTACAGCAATGAAAGCTGACAGAGAATAATTCTGTCAGAAGCTATCTGAAGCCCTTTACAGTTATTAAGTCATAGAAACCTAATAGCATTAGGAGAGAGGTATTGTTATTTTCCCCATTTTCTGGGTGAGGAAATGGCCCAGAGCAGTTAGAAATATATTTAGGAAGTAGAAGAGCTGCAGGTGACCCAGGCTCTTTAACTACTCTTCTAACCTGCTTTTCAGCACTAGGCTTTGACAAATCTGAAATATTTATTTCTATAATGTGAACAGGACTCATAATCCTTACAGGTTGGATGAGTTCAAGTGAAGCTGGGTGTTGAGCTACCATCTCTGAGTGTGCCCTTGAACTGGGCAATACAGAAAGTCAGTGGAGGCTCTCTTCCTTTGGGTTCCTCCCTGGAGGGACAGGGCAGGAAGTTTCTTATACAAGTGCTTCATGGGGTCCTCTGAGGAATGCCCAATTCATTCCACAGCCTTGGCTTTCTATCATTGACTCTGACTCTTGAAACAAGGTGTGGATATTTTATAATTCATGCACAACGTTTGTAAATTACTGTGTTTCAAGATTTTATTTGCTCATTTCACGTCCAACCAGTGTTGTAATGGGCTTTAATGTGGTATTAGGATTTACCGAAGGGGACTTAACAGTCTTGCTACATAGGGAATAAAGTAAATCAATATGATCAAATGCCTGCTGAGGACAGCCCAAGTTCTTAAGTTCTTTAGGGAGATCTCTTGATTCTTGAAGATCTGTTGTCTCCATGTGACCTTGTCCCTCTTGCCTCAGTCTCAAAGAACAATTATGGTTCTTTATGTATCAGCCCATCAAGAGATGCCTTGCCCACATTCTACTCAGGGTTACCATCCACCTCCTGCCTCCAAAGCATACGTTTATTTTCCAAATTTCAGTTCAATTTTGACTACCACCATTGAGCTTCTCTTGTTCTTCCTTTCCTAACCCATAATACTGACTGCTCTCTTTTATGAATTTTTTGCTGTATACCGAATAGACTTTTAGTACAGCACTAAGAACATTACAAAGGCCATAAAAGGAGTTTTGAGCCGGGCGTGGTGGCGCATGCCTTTAATCCCAGCACTTGGGAGGCAGAGGCAGGCGGATGTTTGTGAGTTCGAGGCCAGTCTGTTCTACATAGTGAGTTCCAGGCCAGCTGGGGCTACAGGGAGACCCTGTCTCAAAAGACGAAAATAAAAAAAAAAAAGTAGTGCTGAATACTTACCAAACACTTTATGCTGTGTATGTCACATGAAGCAGGTTCTAGTCTCATGACCATGTGCAGATGAAAGGAAACAAAGCTCAACATGCTAATGCAGCTTCCCCAAGTTCAATGGCCAGTATGTCTCCACTTATGAAACTATAAGTTTCTGGAGAGCAAGGATACCTTTCTGAGAGAGGGATCAAATAGAATGTACCAACAGCCAAGCCTGAGTCCATTCCTATCCTTGGAGCCTGGCAGAGGGAGGATAGAGAGACTGGGGTGCTATTGCTAATACAGGAGGAGCCAACACCGGCCCCTAGGCAGGCAGAAATCACTGTGTCCATTCTTAGTATCTTTAGTACTAGTGTGCTAGTAGGTAATTGACAATAGTTTTGATGAGTATGAATGGGCCCCTAAGTGTTTATCATTTTGTTTTGCTGTTTTGAGACAAGATCTTGCCCTGTAGCCCAGGCTGACCTTAAACTCTTGACCTTCTGCCTCAGCTTCCTGAGTGGCTGGGATTATAGTGTGCTCTACCATACTCAATTCCTATGCTTCTTTACTTGTGTTCCACTCAGAACATGGAGAGATCGTATGAACTGTCAAAGTTGGAGCACACTTCACTGGGCAGTTGTTGAGGTAGACTGCAGACATGGACAGATGGTACCCTCATGGAAGGAACTATCTTAAGGCCTGAAGTTCCTGGGATAATTAATCTGGCTAACTGAATGGTTTCCTCATCTTCTCTGATATGTTGTCTGATCTATAAATTCCTAAGTGGGGGAAGGGTTTTCCTCACTCAGCCAGTGCCAGGAAAACCACAACAAAACACTTGGTAGTTACTGTTGGTCCACCTCCTCCCCTACTCTCGGCTCTTCAGGCTCATGTTGAACCATTCTGCTTGCTTGTATAATTGGTGAACCTGAGTCATTAGGGTCTTGGGCTCACCCACTGGGTTTCCTTTGCAGGTGAACATGTTTGTTGAAGGTTTCCACGACGCCATTCTCCTCTATGTTCTGGCTTTACATGAAGTACTCAGAGCTGGCTACAGCAAGAAGGACGGAGGAAAAATCATCCAGCAGACCTGGAATAGGACATTTGAAGGTAGGGATTAAGTTTACATGGCAACAGCACTGCAGCTACCTGAGCTGCTGCTTCTGTGGTTCTGTTTCAACTGGGAGCCTTTCTAGAGTCTTGCTTTCCTCATTTTAAAAGTATGGATAATAAACCAATTCACCTCACAAAGTTGTGGAGAATAAAATGAGATAATGAATGTGAACATGGCTTGAAAAACTCCATTAGAATAGGAAATGTCTTGTTTCCTGATTATTTAAATAACAACTCTGTGTTGTGCCCTGTGTGTGTGTGTGTGTGTGTGTGTGTGTGTGTGTGTGTACATGTGCCTGTGCATGTGTGGTTGCATGTGCCTGTGAGCATTTAGAGGTCAGAGGTTTATCTTGGGTGTCTTTTTTTGCTTTTCACCTTATTTTTTGAGACAGAGTCTCTCGTTAACTCTGAAGCTCACTGTTTTGGTTACACCAGATGGGCAGTAAGCCCCTGGGATTTGCCTCTTACTGCCCCCACCAGTGCAGGAGTTACAGATGTGCACTGTTGTGCCTGGCTTTTTACAAAGGCGCTAGGGGGAAGAATTCAGGTCCTCATGCTTGCATAGAAAGTCTTTTACCTACAAATCTAACTCATTAGCTCCATATGCTCAAAAACTATGTTTAACATGAACTTCACTCACGACAGATCAGTTGTGAAAATAACTGCGCTTGGGTTAAAAGCATGTTAATTCCAGTGTGCATTTCCCTTGTTCAGACTGTGTCGGTTTTAGTGAAACTCAGAAGACCTTAGCTGTCTTCATCATAACTGGTAGTTACATCTGGTTAGCAGGTCAAGCTGGGCCCCCTGCTTTATTTTACTTTTAAAAAGTGAATATCAGTTCTTGCCTTCTTAAGAACAGAAAAGTATAAGAAAAACAACAAAAGGCCTCTCATCATTCAAACAACTGATGTTGACATTTTAAAATTATACAAGAGCAAGACTATTCTTGGCTAGAAAATTTAAATGACATAAAAGCGTATAAATGAGAAGTGAAAGCGTTCCTTCCCACCCTCGTCTCCTTTTCCCAATGCAATCACTAGCAACAATTTTCTATGTGATTCTAAAAGTATGTTATGCTTTCTGCTAGCGCACAAGCATTTCTATATACCATCTAAAGTTTTTAGGCAGAAAGGCACACTGTGAATACCAGTTTTCATCTTTGTCTTATTTCTTCCATGTCAAGTAAAAATTTTTGAATGAGAATGCATAGATCTAACACATTTAAAAATGAGAGTTAAGAATTTTTCTGTATGAAACTGTGTGTTTTGACAACGAAGTGGAGATCTTTTTTAAATGTTGGAACCTCATTTAATTTTATGTCTTATAGAGTTTATAATGAGTTAAAGATTATATAAGCCTAATAATTCATATGTAAACCTAAAAATGTACAGCCAGTTTTGAAAGAGATGTGCCCTAGCTCAGAAAAATGTTATTGAATAGGTTAATGCTGTTGTAATGAAACGCTTCTTCTAATTAAAAAAAATATTTTATTGAAAAAAAAAATAATAGAGAGCATCAGATTGTATAGTAAGAGGGAGAAGTGGGTGAGAGAGTGTACAAAATACAATGTATGAAATCCTCAAAGCATCAATAAAAATTTTCCCCAAAAGAAAGAAAAATAAAAATATAAACTTAAAAAAATGAGAGTTAAATATGATTCTACTGTATAAGAATTTCTTTACTTCTTTAGCTTTTTTTTTTCCCCCCGAGACAAAATCTCACTGTATAGTCCTGGCTGATCTGGAACTTGCTATACAGATAAGACTGGACTTGAACATGAGGTGATCCTTCTGCCCGTGCCTCCTGAGTACTTGGATTACAGACGTGTACCACCACACTCAGCTATTATACAATATGCTGCCATAGCCTTGTGCACATCTTGATGAATTTTTTGAATATTTCTGTTAGAGAACTTTCCCAGTCATGAAATTTGGGGGTCTTAAAGTATGCTGCTGCTTTATAAAGCACATTGGATATTGCCAAACATCTTATAGAAAAGCCTGCAAATCTATATTTTACCTCACCAACACTCCAAACTAGCATGAGACCCACTGTAGGAATGAACTGGTTCCTAGAGCCCTGCATGTATCAATTTTCTATTCATTCATTCATTCATTCATTCATTCATTCATTCATTCATTCAGCAAATACTCATCAGGTGCCAACAGTATGTTTGGAAAGCCGAGGGCACAGCAGTGAACTAAAAATGTTGCCTGCAATCAACTGAGCTCATGTGAAAGTGGAAGGGACAGGCAGTAAACACATACACCACTTCAGGGGCTGTAAAATAAAGCAGGGTAGGGAGATAAAGAGAGATGGAGTAGTTTAGAGTGGTCAGAAAGTCTCTGAGCATGGAGTAAACTTGAGAGAATAAGGAGAAGTTGTGGAGATGTTTAGGACACAGTGCCACAGAGGGAGAAACAGCTGCCTGTATCTTGAATGAATGTGGTGGGAGATTGTCTGCTGAGGAGCCAGGAGGTCTGTGTGGATGATATCTTAGTATATGGAGGAGTGTGATAGGTGTCAAAGTTCAAGAGACAGTGGGGTCCAGACCCATGGAGCTGGAAGCTTTGCTGAAACAGAAGGTCATTGAGGTTTTCAAGTGACATGGACTTCATTTCTCTGCAGTGGTCTCTGGGATGTCATGTTTTACTCCAGAACAGAGTGACACCCTCTTTTGTTTTAGACAGATAGTAGCTTGTAGGTAAGTCTCCTGGATGAACTTGCTTTACCTCTGCCTGATTCAGCTAAGGAGCTGGAATCAAGTAGGGTAATTCAGGGTGCACATTAGGACAAAGTAAAGTTTCCCAGAAGTTGTGCACAATACGCCGAGAAACTGGTGTGTGGGGACACAACCTTGGTCGGCCACATCCCATTCTTAGCTATTACTCACTGAATTGTGTGGTCATTTGTTCTTGGTCTTCTGACAGAAGGATAGGAGCCAGAGTTGGGGATGCTGAAGGACACCACTGAGGGAGGTTGTTGAGAGAAGGGCAGGTGCCCACAATGGCTGGAGTACAGTTTTGTTTAGAGCCAAGACATGGGCTAAGTTTTCTCATAGGCCATCTTGATGTTTCCATTTTAGAGCCAGGTCTACAACAGTCAGTACACACCAAGTGTATAAAGAATTGTATAGTTGAGTCTAAGTGGAATCTTGTGTGTCCAAACGTAAAGATAATTGATGCCAAGGTAAATTTTGGCTTTGAATGGTTTGGTGAGACCATTTTATTTGCTAAACAATGATCCATTTGGAGGTAGTCCCTTAAAGAACTCTAAGATGGCTGTATGAAGAAAAACTCAAGTCACCTAAAATTAAAAACAATTTTAATTTTAGTGGTCACTGTAAGTGACCATTAAGTTGTCAGGGGAAAAATACTCTGGATGTTACTTGACAAAATTGGATTTTATTGCCATGAAACCTATGATCAAGACTTTCAATAAATGGCTTAAGGAGAAGCTGAGTTTCCTCCACGTGATAGGTCAGAGGGACAAGGTAAACAGGACTGTGGCTCAGGCCCTGAGCTCCACTCCAGGCAAACAGAAGTGAGGGTGGAAAGGCTCATTAACTGATGTACAGGAACGATTTTTGCTGTCAGCCTAAGAACTTCACCTTCTGCCTGATACTCTCAGGTGAAGTCTCACTTTGCATATCAGCCATCCTGAGAGTTCTCACCCCATTTCTTGGCAGAACTGTAATAACTTAAAGGTGTAATGAGGTCTTGGATTACCAGAGTCTCTTCATCTTATAAAATACTTGTAAAAACGGTCAGCAGGACACACATTCCCAAACACCTCTGAGCAGAATGGCAAGTGGTTTTGTATAACCAATATGTTTGGAAAATGAATATATATGTACATATATGTATGTATATGTACACACATATATATATAATTTAAAGTTTTTCAGGCTGTCAAGGTTGCACCCATTTGAGATAGGTATATCCTTTGTAGCCAGCCTATGTTAAGAAGACAAAAAATTAAGATGACTGGTACCTCCATTCTGTTTCCGGCAAAGTAACCCAAAGTCTGGAAAAATCAGTGGCCTTTCAAACCACAGCCCAAAGGACAGTAAACCCAAATAGCTGCCCTCTCCAAACCACACTAGAGGATGGAACTTTCCCCTGAGATGCTGCTCAGCAGACATTCAGTTCACTGAGGAATCAGTACTTCTGGAGAGAACCAAATCAATAGAATCACCAATTAAGAACTACACTGAATTCTCCCACAAAGATAACAAATGGCTTTAGTTAATTAGAATGTGGCTGGTGTACACATCCTGCTACTTAGTGAATGAAGATGAAAGTATTTCGTATTTCATATGAAATATGCTGTATTTCATATCAGCAGATGATATATGTTTGCTTTCATTGATTAGCTGCTGAAAACTGCCATCACTAGCCAAGACAGATGGGTCCTCTGTGCTCTGGGCACCCTGTTCCAACCACTGGCCCCTTTTATAAATATGGACCACTTCCTTACAAACCCCATAGTTCCTCTGGTTCTTTCTGGCCTCAGTGCCTTAGGAAGCCTTCTTAACCTACCAAGAGTCCCATACTTGAAAGAGACTGCCTCTGCCTCCCAGCAGCCATCTATTGCCAGTTTCCTTAGGTAGAACTGGAACTTCTTACCTACTTCCTCATGTCTGTGCTGGGATATTTTCCAGTTTGAGCTTGCATGGTACTTATGCATGCTGTCACCATTACTGTAAGTTCATATGAATAACTGACCGGCTGTTTGGAAAACTGTTTCCTTGTGATCATCCACCACCTCTGGCTCTTACATTCTTTCTGCCTCTTCTTCAGTAATGATCCCTGAGCCTTGGGAGGCAGAAGTTTGATATAGATGTCCTATTCAGGGATAAGTCTCTTGTTCTCTGCGTGTTGGCTAGTTGTGGATTTTTGTGTTAATCACCATCTGTTGCATAAGGGAACTTCTCTGGTGAAGGTTGAGAGATGCATCAATCTACAGGTATGTTAAGCAATGAATAGCACACATTGGGTAATGAAGAATTGCCTTTCAGATATTGGCTCCAGTGGCCCATGAAATGGGCCTTTTGCTTTCCTGTGTTTTAATGCCACCTGTATGAAACACACTCACTGAATCCTGGATCCAGACCGATTTTCTTTATGATAGCTGTCCAATGACTATATGAACCTACTTATGATAAGATACCTTCATTTCTCTGCCATTTTTTTAGGGGAGAAAAAGAATTCAAAACTGTAGACCAAGCATGCTACTTTCAGGATTAGGCATAATTTTTTTTTTTTTTTTTTTTTTAAAGATTTATATTCCCTAAAGATCATTTATTTCTGTTTCTTTTCATTTTTACATGGAGAAATGTTAAGAATTTAGGAATGCAGACAGATGAAATTACAATGTCTTTCCAAATGCCAACAAAAATGCTCGAAGTCTGATGCGATTCCCTGTGGCATGAGTTTGTTTAAAGATTCCCATCAATTAATTTTCTTGGTAGCCAGGGGTATTTTAGGTGACTGACTTGCACTTCTTTGCCTCTCCCATAGGTATCGCCGGGCAGGTGTCCATAGATGCCAATGGGGACCGGTATGGTGACTTCTCTGTGGTTGCCATGACTGACACTGAAGCAGGCACCCAGGAGGTGAGCAGATGAGACTTCTGTGCCAGTTGTTCCTGCAAATCGGGGCTCAGAGTGCATTTGCCCTGGTGTCTAAGTGAGCATTTCCTTGGAGGGAGAGCTCCCTGTTGGCTGAGGGATAGGGAGTCAGGAAATGCTTCCACTGTGTTCTCACTAGAGAAGTCCTTACATTCAAGTGGTCAAGAGTCACCCCTCAATCCTGTGTAATGGGCATCAGAGGATACAGGGAAAGAGAAACTTACTTGCCTCTTACATTTCCAGCTATTTTTTTCTGGTGGTTTTATAGACTCTATGTATGTTAATATTTCAAAAGATGGTGGAATTTCAGAATAGATAAAAGAGTGTCCTGGAGAGAAAGATAAGTCTCTGACCATTACTGAAGTTGTCACCTCAGCTGTAATATGGAGACCATAATATTTTTCTTGCTGGTCTCACAGGACTACTCTTAGAACCATATGAAATGAAACCTAGAAGAGTAACACATGACCCTTAGGGGACAAGCAAATAAATCGAAGGACTTGTGCATACTGTCATCATTGTTGCAAGTTCATATGACCAAGTTCCCAGAGGCCTGAAAGCCTCTGTTTCCTTATGTTCATGCATCAACCCTGACTCTTACACTCTTTCTGCCTCCCTCTTCCACAATGGTCCCTGAACCATGGGTGGGTGAGGTTTAATAAAGGAGTCCTATCTAGGGACACACACTCTGAAGTGCCTTATGCTCTATACCTTGACCAGTTGTGTGTGGTCTTTTGAGTTCATCACATTCTGTTGTATGAGGAAACATTGATGATGAGAGTTGAGGGATGTATTAGTATTCTCTTTACCCCCTGTTCCACTATATTCCATGGGCCTTAAGTGTAGAGGTTCCACTGTAGATGTGTCACTTAGGGCTGGGCATCTCTCAGACATATTCTCTGTATATGACCAACTGTGGAACTCTGTAATAGTCTTCATCTGTTAGAAAAAGAAGCTTCTTTGATGAGTGGTATATGGTATACTTGTCTGTAAATATATGGATCCATATTTAGCATACAGTAAGAAATTTCATTTGTCCAGAGATATGACAGAGTTAGGGTTTTCTCTAGGCTCTATGACTTCTCCAGCCATATGTATTTGGCTGTGTTTACAGTGCTGCCCATGAGTTCCCTCCCAATGAGATGGCTTTAAGTCTAATTAGATAGCTATTGATTACCCCCTAGATAAAAGTGCCACTATTGCAGCAATAGAGATAGTTTACTGTGCTAGTCATTGTTGTGGTTATTAGTCTTTGAAGCTGGGCTTGGACCATTGACTGTTTTTTCCCCCTTAACAGCTTGCATAGTGTCCTCTATAACTATGAGAGCTAGTCTTCAGGGAGGAGGCTTCTAGGTCAGTTCCAGCTCCCTTGCTCCAAGTCCTGTGTTGGAAATATGTCCTGTCTTCAGCAATAGGGTCTTACCGTCATGTTCTGGGAGGTAATCAAGGGCCATATTAATAACCTGTGTTATTTTTGGTGTCTCTTGGGCTATCCTGACCAGCAACTTGAAGGAGGCTTCACCTGTCTGGCACTGTGTTTCTTGTCATATAGCCTTCAGGTATACACATGCACCCATGTTCAGGTATTGTATGTATATTATTCAGGAGAGTTTTGAGTTAATGCATTTCCCCTGGTTTTTCCACACCACCTAAGCTTTATTTAGTTATCTCTCCTCTCTCTTTCCTTGTCTAATGTTCCTCCTTCCTCCCCAGTTAAAGTATCCCAGTTTCTCCTTGATAATACCTGTCTCCTGTTATCTCCCTTCTCTTGAGTTCCTTCTTCCCCTTTTCCCCCATAGTTCTGTGTATGTCCTTCTCTCCTCCCTTCCCAGTTGAATTCTCTCATTTTCTTGATTTGCCAAGGGCATCACCTTGTTGCCTTTATGGTCCCTGGCATATGGCACTTGTTTTCCTCCCTGTATGGGTATGCATGGCCTTTGTGGAGGGGCAGAGGGGCAGGAATACCCCTCACTATGTTCACTGAGTGATTTTGATACCCTTCCAGTGCTGGATCTTGCTTGTAGTCCAGCTTCTACCTCTGGGGAAATAATAGTCAATCTTAGCTCATTGTGAGGTTTCAGTATGCAGAGCACTTAGTAAGTGCTCAGCACACAGCAGTAATTGTCATGTTTTGGTAAGGACCTAGAATTGTTTTTATTATGACTAGACATAGCCTATGAAAGCCTACTGGGCTCAGTTGGAAGAGGGGAGGTGTCACAGGCCACCCAGGAGCCACAACTTGGGCCCAGACCAAAGAGAGGAGGATCCTGAGCACCTAGGGGTAAAAGCAGTCATGTGGGTTCAGGCGGTTGATCAGTAGTCATCTTAACCAGAAGCTGAAGGCTGACTGTGGAATCACATAATGAATGAGTAATGATTTTCCAGGGGTCTAAAGTAGAGTTCTGAAATATAATTCAGCCTGATAATAGGGGAGCAGATGGGGAGCAGATGGGTAAATTCACCAGAGACGAGTGTAGCCCCTAAAGGAGCAGTCTACTAGCCAAAAAAGGGTCAAACAGGAAGCTCCTTCCACAGATATTCTTTAAAAATTTCCTTAGATTACATTTGCTTATTTATTTATCGCGTGTGTGTGCATGTGCACGCCGTGGCACATGCCTGGAGATCAAAGGACAACTTGTGAGAGTCAGTTCTTTCCTTTGACCATGTGGGTCCCGAGGATTGAACTAAGATCTTCAGGCTTGGTGGCAAGCACCTTTACCTGCTGAGCCATCTCTCCAGCACTCTGAAAGATACTACTTCGTGTTGTAATTGTATGTCAACCTACCTGAAGGGTGTGCAGCTGTACTCGTCACATGCTTAACTTGTGTATGCAGAGGCCTTGGCTCTCCTCATACATCCCTGGGGGTAATGGGCCTTACACATGGCTGACAGTGTGGGCTGCGCTGTGGAGGGGTAGGGAGAGGAGAATCCTATGGGATGAGCAAAGGAAAAGCTCCGAAGGCAGATTTTTGTTTTCATAGGGAAATGAAAGCGCCCTTCCTACTAGGCAGGAGCAGCTGCGGATTATCCAGGGACAGTTTTGGAAGGACTTGGCCTCCAGCGTGACAGGTTCTCAGGTGGCACTGCTGTTACCATGTCCATACCTTTCTGAGTCTGCCTCCTGCCCCCCATTTCTCATGAACTTGCTGGCCCTTCCTAGAGATGGTGCTGTGTAGATGCAGTCTGTGCTGATCAGGCTGTGTGTTTTGGGGAGGACATTCGGAACTGTGAGCTTTGTACCTCCTTTGGGAGCAGATGCTTTTGACCTTTCCTTTTGTAAAGCTGACTTTCATCTTTCTGTAGGTCATTGGTGATTACTTTGGAAAAGAGGGCCGATTCAAAATGCGATCCAATGTCAAGTATCCTTGGGGCCCTTTGAAACTGAGAATAGATGAAACCAGAATTGTGGAGCACAGCACCAGCTCTCCCTGCAAATCATGTAAGTTCAGAGACTTAATTTGCTCTGCTTCCTCTTCCCCAATCTTGGGTTTGTGAGAATTTGATGCATGCTGTTCTCATGAACTCATGTTCTAAAAGTTCCCATACCTTTTTCTGATGCCTTACAAACTGCTGTCCCCTCCCCAGCCCTTATCAGAAGCTTCCAGGTCTTTCTTCTCATCTATTCTTCTCTTCCAAAATGCAGAGAAGCTTCTGCCTTGACTCCTGCTGGTTTGGGGGCCCTAGAGGAGTTCCGTTAACTTACTAAGTATTGCTTTTCTCATATGTACCCAACTCTGTTTTGGGGAACAAATGAGATCATGCACTAAAGGCCCTATTCTAAACTGAACTCTTTTTATGGAAGATAATTGTTTATGACTTTTATAGAACCGGAATCCCACTCAGAATGATTGTTTCAGAATTTTTGCTTACATTTTCACAAAGCTATATAGGACATTTTGATGAGGAACTCTGGCTTCGGCGAGAGAACATCTAAAAACAGAACACAGACCCAATGAAATTTTCTCCAAATTTTAACACTTTGAAGTGTCACCATCTACTTGTTGTAGGTCAATGCCATGGTCCATCCAGACGTTTTCTTGACTACAAAAAAATAAGTGTGGATATATCTGAAATCTTCAGTTTCTAGTTTTCTTCAGGTCTGTCTTGAATCTGTTTCTTTTTCTTTCCCTCTCTCTGTCTCCCTCCCTTCTTCCCCTCCTCTTCTTTTACCTTTTCCTCCTCTCTCTCCTTTCCTGTCTCTCCTTTTCTTCCTTCTCCTCCTTCCTCCCTCCCTGCTTCCTCTTTCCTTTCTTTGCTTCCCTTCCCTGTTTCAGGTCTTGCTTGCTGTGTAGTCCAGGTTGGCCTCAAACTTGAGATCCTCCTGCCTCATCCACAAGTGCTGAGATGAAAGGTGTCTGCCCCATGTCTGGATTTGAATTCATTTCTGCTCCTCTTCTGCTCTTGCTCTTGTAGCAGTGCATCTATCTAGCACTTTCTCAAAAGCTTTTCTTAAAGCAAAAGCTTTTTGCTAAGCAAGAGAAAAAAAAAGTACAGGATCTTCTAGAAAATATTTCTTACATAAAAGGAAAAATTACTTCAAGTGGGAGAGGAACAAGAGTTGAAGCATGTCTCCTTATTTATCCAAATGAGCTCTGATTACGTACATTTCTTTTTCAAGCAGGTGGCCTAGAAGAATCAGCAGTGACGGGGATCGTGGTGGGGGCCTTACTAGGCGCTGGTTTGCTAATGGCCTTCTACTTTTTCAGGTAGGGGCTGTTTATGAAGTTACAATTCACTCTACTTTCGTCCTTTGTCACCTGTCTTTGCATAATGCTCCTTGTGATTTGCTCACATCTTTCTTTTGTCAAAGGACCATAATAGTTAATAGCTTAAAGCCATTCTTGGGTTTGGTGATCATCTGGTTAGCATAGTGGGTCATGGGTTTCTATTCTATTCTCTCTCCCTCAACCTTGGACCAGAGAGCTAGCTGCTAGGATCTTTTGATCACAGATATTTTGATGAGAATTTCTTCCACTCACCAAATGCACACATAGAGAGAAAATCTGGACAAAGAATGAGCTTTCTACTCTCAGGCTTCCTTCAATTTAGAAATAGGTGCCTGAGTTCACCTTGAAGAGCTAGAGGGAGCTCCCATCAGTCTCTGCTCCCTGCAGTGTGCTCTGTGTTTGGACAGGTCACATGCTTGTGGCTCAGCCTCAAGGCTTATAAAATTGCAATACGTATGTGTGTCGAAGGTCTAGATTGTTTCATGCAGCGATGGTGGTCCATTCCTTTGTAATCTTTGGTGGTCAGATTTATGGCTTATTTGTAAGTATCAGACCCAAGGGGTCTTCATATTTGCATGAATGGAACTCTGGGTGTACGCGGCTCTTGGTTGGAACAATCCTGTTCCTGTTCCTTTGGTCACATGACACTCAGTCTGATCTTTATCTGGGGCATATCCTGGGAGTCAGGCAGAGCTTCTGGTGTAGAATAGATAAGATGTAACCCACAGGGCTGTCAGGGAAGAAGGGGAAGGCTTGTTCTATGGCATTTCAGAAAGCATGCCAATTTTCCCTTGAATAAGGACATAATGCCTTGGGGCACACTACTTTCATCTCTGACCAGGGTTTCACATTCTGTCACCTCTCATTTATCAAACTAAACCCAGATGTCCCTGGAGGGCATTCTTTGTAGGAGAAACCACAGTATTTTATAGCCAAGTGAGGTTTTATTACTACATGTGCTTTCTCTTTCCCCAGGAAGAAATACAGAATAACCATTGAGAGACGAAACCAGCGAGAAGAAAGCAATGTGGGCAAACATCGAGAGTTACGGGAAGATTCCATCAGATCCCATTTTTCAGTGGCTTAAAAGAAGGGCCTCCCTCAATATCCCTCTCCCTCTCTTCTGCTTGAGATTCCTTAAGAGATAGATGAAATGAAAGACATCAATGGAACAGAAGGGGCATTCTTGGAGAATTCCTTCTTTTAAGCAGTAGTTATTTCATTTTAAATTTCCTTTAGAAGCTCAGGAACTATTGTTAATCACCATCTGCCTCCCAGCCCTTCATCTCATGAAAACAAAGATGGGTATAGAATCTCAGTTAAATGTTCTGATGGCTGAAAGGACATATGATTAGATTTGTGTTTAAAAAAACTGGTGTCCCCATATCTTGATGACTTTGGTGGCATTTCCCATAAGGATATAAAAATGTGGTTTTCTCAAATGAAATGTTTTGTAGCTAGAATAAAACAATTTTTACAAGTAAAATATTCTTGGAAAGAATTTAACACCCAGTGAGAGGACAATGGAATGAAAAAAAATCTCCAAGCTGGAAGCACTGTGCTCCTCTCTCTGGAACTAGTGAACAGGTTTGTAGTGGATGAGAGCTATGTCCAGTGTCTACATTCAGGCCTGACTTATCTCAAGAAAAGCTCCTTCTTAGTCTCTATCAGTGTCTCATAAAAGCTACTTTGGAAAACTGTAAATATTAGTGAGTTAGGAGGATTTACATAAGAAAAGTGAGTCTAAAATATTTATTTATGTTAAAAAGCTCTACTTCGACACTAATGTTTTATTTTTAAGTATTTTAATCTTATATTTTGGTATTAGAAGTGCATCTATTTTTCATTTTGAAGATTAAAGTTCACTTATATTTTCAAAGCGTAGGGAGAGTACCCACGGAAGCCGTGGTGACGTAAGATGCCCTTTCTCTGCTTTCTTAGTTCCCTTGACTGTGCCCAAATGCTAATTCCTGCCTTAACTGCAGAAGTCTAGAAATACGTTCAGATTACAAAGTCTAAAGGAATACATTGATGCTAAGCCACTCTACATTTTTAATTATCTTAACTGTAAGTTATTGGAGGGCTGCATCTCTTCTGAATGTTGATCAAATGAGGCGTTTCAAGATCAAGAGTGGAAAGTCAGTAGAAGGAAGTGGCTTTTATGAAGGAATGACACCGTTTCCCCTTAAGGACTATTTGAGAGTGAAAATTTGACATTAAACACAGAAACAATAAATCAAAAAGCATATACATGAAGTTTATCAAATTTCTAAGTGCTGATTTTGGTTGAAAGTGGGAATCTCTATGTGTGCTCTATCTGCTCTCAGTCAGCCACAAAACACCTGCAGAGTCAGTGTGCTGGCATAGACTTAAGGACTCTGGGCAGGACTGGGTCAGTTTTTACTGGATATCGGCTTCGCGCTCAGTTCTGTGCATGAAGGTTTAAACCCAGTTCCCCGCTATCACCTCTGCTTATCAAAGGAGGGATGGAAAATCTGTTCAATGAGGGTACCATCTTATAATCATGCCTTTCCTTCGTAATATGTTGAGCATCTGAAGCACAATAAAAATCATTTCCATGTCTATAAGGAAAAGGAGGGAACTTGCACAATTCCTTGGCAGCTGTTCATTCACACAGGTTAACCGTGGAGGAGAGTTAAGTGAAAGTAGCATGTTCTGGAAGCTGTCCTGTGCAATGCTTGCTTCCCAGGAGAGGACTGCATCTGTTACTCCCACTTCAGCCAAAGTGAACAAATTGCTTGTGTGAGGTGTGCTTCCCCTTTATTGTTTAGAAAATGGGGTGCAAACAACTACCTTGTAGTTGCAGATGCCTGCTGTGAAGGAAAAGTGCTGACTTCAAAAGGAGTGAAAAAAGAAAGCAAGAGAGGCATGCTCTGAAATTGTGATGGAAGAGGAGAATTTGAGAAGCAAAACTCAGGAAAAGTGTTTGATGGCTGGGAACTCCCCAGAGTGAAAACAGAACAGACAGATTGCAACCACCTCAGTTCATGAGTCAGAGAGCTTATTTCTCTCTCTCTTTTTAAATTTTTCAGTGTTGTTTTCCATATATTTTAAAGATACTCATTTTCTAACATTTATTTTTTTTGAACCTATATGCTTATGGGAGGGTGCGTGGGGGAAGCACTCTACCTTTCTAGAATTTATATAGTGACTCCTTAATACCAACATCAGTACAGCAAATATTTCTTATTTCTACTTCAGACAGAGGAATAGTTCTAAATTTACTATCATATCCCCAGATAAAATCTTAAAGATGAGTGGTAATATAGTCTTTTTAAAAGATACAATAAATTGTGAAGTTTCTGGTATGTGGAAAGCATTCCTTTCAGTTTTAAAGCAATTCCACTATTAAGCAGGTTGACTGTTTAATTGCATGTCTGTTGTGTAGTTTTTGTTCTTTAAAAAAAAAATCTTTATGAGTTACCAAAACTCCATTAGATTGGGAAACATTTGCTGAAAGGATAGGTGCCTGTTCCATGGTGGGCCTGAGTTAGGACCTCTTGAAATTACATTGTGGGACTTAAATTCCTAATTGTTAAGCAACATCTTTGACAACTAGTCGTTCATTATCTGCAAATAGCCACATATCATATAGGAAAATAAATGGGACTTTAGTTCTTAAATCATTCTCTAAATTTTTATCTCTAAATTCAACATGTTTGGGTTTCAAAAGGGATATTTTATTAATATTTTTCCTCATCTGGTCAAATATAAGCTCACATACAAGTTAAAATAAGCATATACTTTGGGGTGGGGAATAAACAAATTATATAGCCGTTATTATCTTAGATTTTGGAGAGAGGGGGAGGAACTCAGACATGAAAGTGTTGTGTGTGAAGTCCGTATCTCTTCCCATCTCTGCCAGAGGTTTTACGAAGAAGCCCTGTCAGCATTACATTTCTCTGAAGAAACATCAATTTGTCTTCCAGAACCACAGACATGCATCCAAAGGCCCCAAAATAGCTCTTTACATTGCAGAACTATATTAAAGGAGAGGGAGAAACACATGCGAAGAGAACAGATGCCTCTTTTTCTTCTCTCCTTGGAATGAAAGGCTTTTGCTCTAGAACGCTATGTCTCTCGGCTTACCACCTTCCTGTGCCTTTAGTAAAGGCACATGCACCCTCTCAGCCCCTAACTTACTGCTTTTCCTTTGGTTGGGACTGGGCTACTTGTACAATCCTTTTAGGAGACAAAAAAGGAATATTATGCCACCAATATTAAGGGAGTGTTTATAAATTGCAAAGTAATAATGCCCAAGTTTCTTGGGACACAAAAAACTCAGATCCTTAATGGAGTCAGCCATGAAGGAAAACACCAATGGACATTTGACTCTTCTACCTTCATGTCATGGATTTTGTTTAGTTACACCCTGTGGTTCAGGGCTTCATAAGGAAGCTGATAATGAACTTAATTTCTCATTCAGTGGGAAAACCTCAAGCTGTCTAGAAACACAAAGTATGTTTTAGGGGCAGCGTGGAAGCAGGAAGAATGAGCTGGTACCATCAGAAGGGTCAGTCCCTCTTCTAGTTGGTCTTTAGAACAGAAGAATAACCAATATTTAGCCCTTCTTCAGTCAAACTGAGTGAGAGCTTTGGACATGCCCAGTGAGAAGAATCAGGATTTTGAGCCTTCTAGAGAAACAGAGAGAACAGTTTTGCAGACTGCCACCGTCTCCATCACTTTTCTTCCCTGAGCCCCAGTCACAAGCCATCATGGCTCAATAGATGCACTAGCATCTTGCACATGCAGGTGGGAACTTGTGCGTAGGCCTCCACTCTTCCCCAGAGAAGAAAAAGACAACATAGTACTGACTCTGAGAAGATAGCTGGCTTCTAATCAGAATCCCTATAGTATCTTGACCACACAAGCCCTCAGACAGTTCAGCACTGTGATCTGCACGTACGCCACAGCCTGGCTTTGGTTCTCAGCACAGATTTCAGATGTCTCTTGTAGGTGTACCCCACAGCTAGACTAGAGGATGAAAATAACTTTCAAGAAGTTCTGGGTTGGAGGATGTTCAAATTTCTCACTAACCACTACTGTTAACTCCTACCAAACGCAAAGCATTCTGAACCAGCTGACGATGATGTTGATATTTTAAGCTACTTCAAATGCAATCAAAAGAGTTTCAGTGGGAACTGAATCTCAGAGGTAAAACTCTATATGCTATAATGACTTTTCTGTATGTCAGTTGTGAGATGATTCCTAGTGAGAGGTTTGAAGGAATAGAACTGAGAGCTAGAAAAGTACTACATTGCTTTGATTCATGTTTGGCATGTTTGGCATGATTCAAGTGCAAGTCATAATAGGCTATCAAATTAATTTTTTATTTTCTAGGAGAATAAAGCTGTCGTAGTATGTAACTATTATTGGTCAGAGAAGAAGAAGTATTATTTCTGCAAAGAAAGAAGAATTGAGATAGGGAATCTCATTTATTATTCAATGCCCATGTCTGAAAATGTTCAGTATGATATACCATGTAAGACAGCAATGAAGTGTCCTCAACAACACAGAGATGTGCGAATCTGCTGATGCTTCTGTTGGGTTCTGAGAATCAGAGCTTTGTTCCCCATGCATAGCTGAAGCCAAGAGGATGTGGGCTGGACATTGTGGAGGGTCAGCTCTGTAGCCTGTATCTTCTGGGCTGTATTACTCATGGTTATCTTAAATGCAGGACTACCAAACAATATAAATCAACCACAAGTCTGGTGAAAGGTAAAAGCTGCACTAGCTATATACAGTTTATCATTCTAATGTAAGTAGAACTATCTGCATATAATGTGATTTAATTTATTATTGTTTTGTGTAGAAAGTGAGAATTAATGACTGTGGATATAGCCTTGTTTTATATAATATATTTTATTTCTGGTGAAAACTGGTCATTTAAACAATCTACTTCATTTGGTGTTTGGATATAAATGTGTGTGTGTGTGTGTGTGTGTGTGTGTGTGTGTGTGTTCTTGTAAATGTTTCTATTAAGCAAGAATGTCACATACTCCAAATATAACAATGTGTTCTCATTAAAAAATATAACCACACAAACCGTTTCCTGCTCATAATTCTACTAAACATACACTGCGTATATCCACATTTTCTGAGGGTTTTATGTTTTCTTAGGGTTAGCTGAAGTAAAAGATCAATGAATAGATATGATGGAATATAATGTTGAATGATACCTGTGAAAGGATTCTGCCTCAAAGAGGCAACAATAATTAATACATTATTAGAATGAGTGCCAAACTGTGTGTTGACTTGGAAGGTAAAGGAGGAAATATTTTGAAACTGGGCATCTTGAGAGACTATATAACACCAGATGACCTCTCATGGCTAGGCCCCTCAGCCACTAAATTTAGAGAGACCCCAAGTCTTTTAGCCACTCTAAAAGCTCCTAGTTTCCTGTGTGTCAGGCAGAGGGACCCGCCTCCAGCATCTCTAGCTTCACCTGGACTGCAAAAGGCTGCCTCATTTTCTAGGAAGCGATTGCTTTCTCTTAAACCTGAGAAACACACAGTGATTGGCACGGCTGTAGCTACGTTCCCCTGGTCTTGCTGTCGTTGTCAGTGAGCTCCTCCTGGACAATGCAATGGATGCCACTCACACTGGGAGTGTGTTTGAGAAGATTCTGTAGAAGTATGCTACAGTGAGGGCAGGTGTGGAAAGGTATAGAAGTGAAGCTGCAGCCTGGGAGACCTCCTCTAGGGAACAGGCATTCTTTCCTACTACTTTCGCCTTTGCCCTTGGGGCCATGGATTCCTTGAATCTTTCTCATCTATCTCTACTTCCCAGTCCCATCTATACTTCATGTACAGCCAGCAAGTTATCACAGGCTAAGGATGCCTCATGATTATGGGGAAGTTATGTCTTATTAGGGAGCCTCAAGTAGCTGTAAATACTGTGCTCCAGCCCTAAATCACAGTTCTAGTGTTGACTAAGTAGCAACTATTAATGTGATAGGTATTGATGGCTGCATGCCTTCAAAAAAAAAGAGAAACTTCACAAACCATCTGTTAGCATCAAAACAGAACCAAGGAAAGAATTTTTCTTGAGGTCTGTGCACCCTCACGATCATTAGAGGCTGAAGTTTCTGAGTTGAGAGGAAGAAGACTGTAAGTGGACATGAACAAAGACCAGTGTTCGATATGCTTTGTGTAGGTTATGCAATTTGCTTCCATGTCACTTCTGCCATTCCCATTTCATAGCCTGGCTCTCACCCTTTAGCTGTGTGATCATGTGTGAAAATGAAGACAATACCAGTCCCTACCTCACTGGGTTGCCATGACTTCAGGCTTAGATTCTTGGCTGGCATAAACATTCAACAGAACTGTATTATCTGTCTCCTTGGATAAGGAGGCAAACCCTCAGTTGGTAATTTTGGGGGCCTTTCAAGGCAAGGAGGGTCCCTATTGGTGAAAGTCACATTCTTCAGGTTTCTTTCTTTTCAATCTGGGTTGATGGCAAGCACCTCTTTCTCTTGGTTGATGATACAACCTTCTGCAGTAGGTATGGAGAAGTGATAAGAAGGGGACAGTGATAGCTATAAGCTTTCAGAGGATTGGAATATTTTCATTTAAGTCTGTGTTGTCTCAGAGTAGAAGGGCCAATGTGGGACTTGGTCATTCCATACCTTCCTTCTGCTTCCTGTCCCCAGTCCCCTCCTGCAGTGGCCCTTTGGACTGCCCTTCAGAATTCACTCCTGGGAATCTGTGATTAGCTCGAGCAGAGCCTGTTCTTTCACATGTCTTAAAGAACAGTTTTCCTGCCATTGGTTACCTTCAGGAAGGAGCCAGGGCAATATATAACCCCCAAACACACAAATCACTTCCTCCATCCAGACCCTGCCTCCTGCTTTTCGTCAACTCCCAATAATGTCATCATATTCTGAATCCATCACGGGATTAATCTAGTCCCCAAAGCCCATCTTCTGGCAACCAAGTCCCCAAATCTGAGCCTGTCAGGGATGTTTCACATTCAGATCATAATACTGAGAACGTTGCCACGTTCTGCAAATGCACCTGCAGCATTTCATTAATTGTTAGTGAGTGGTAGATTTCTCAGCGTAGACAAAAGAGCTTCTTGCTCCACTTCCACTGCAAATGGTCAAGAGATGTGACACATGCAGGATGGAAGAGGACATCCCACTGTGGAGGCCTCGTGGTTCCTGGTACTCAGAGAGGCTTCTCATCTGAAGCCCAGCAGCCCCAAGACCAGGACAACAGCAGCACCCGCTGTTCTAGAAGTATCCATGAGAGTTCAGAATAATGCTGCATTCCAGGCTATGTCAACCCCTCCACCATGAGCACAGTGGCTGGTGCCAGGCACTCTCTGGCAGTGCAGAGGCTGGTCCGTGGGATGCTTGAGAAGGACCAGCTGTGCAGGAAGGGATCCACATCCCCCCAGCAGGAATGTCCTGGGTAGTTTTAAAGGTATTTCATGCTTCCAGGCAAACATCCAACAACAGAGGATATTGAAACAGAGCTTGCCACCTCATGTGTTAACTGTACACTCCTTAGACTATTCTCAGCATTTTATTCAGAAGGAAAGTGAAAAATGAGCAGAGTGCGTGCCATTCTCCACTGGATGATGCTAAGTATTTGTTGAGACTTGTCTACAGGCCAACAGAGGGCTAAGTACCTGTATTCACTCATTTAACTCTCACAGCTCTCTAACAAGGGGGGACTTTGGTTTCCTACTTCCCCTTAGAGATGTGTAAACTGGGGCACTGTGGGATTAAGTGATTTGCTCTGAGTCTTAGAGTTACTAAGGGGCCAGAGTTACAGTATCAAGTCAGGCCTGTGGCTCTAGGTAGTGGGGATGACAATCTACTTAGTCCAAAAGGCACTGTTCATTTTCTGTTCTCTGTGAATGAACCTCTCTTCCTTTTCATTGCCTTCCATGTCCAATCTGATTCCCAATCATCCAATCCCTCTCTGCTTTCACTGCCGCTAAGTGAGATCTCCTATCCCAAATCAGTAGGAAGTAGACTATTACTTCTCACTTCTAGGCATTCACTTTTTTCCTACTCATTTCTCACACAACTGCCTTATCAGCCTTCCTGTAACACTTGATGCATTTGATGCTATGCCCCTCTTGACTGTCATTCTGTACAGGTCAACATTCTGTTCCTGGAGTCCCCAGGCTGAGTCTTGTGACACTGACTTATTCATTATTTCTTTGATTTAGTCAAATTGTGCTAAATTTGACATACTTGATTTATTTCTTGTCCAGAAAACATCCTTTTCACTTTCCTGATAGATTATTTTATTTTTTTAGTGAGTTCGAGGCCAGCCTGGTCTACATAGTGAGTTCTAGCTGGAAAGACCCTGTCTCAAAAAAAAAGGTCTCATATAGCCCAGGCTGGCTTTGAACTTACTATATAGTCAAAGGTGCTTAAACTCATGGTCCATCTGCCTCCACCTCCCAAGTACGGAGATTGCTGGGGTTACAGACCTGACCACCATATCCAGTTGCATGTTTATTTAGTCCCTCTGTTCCTCCTGCCTGACAACTCTTTGCCTCTTAGTCTGGTCTATCCTTTGTCTGAAGTTCAAATCCAGTTTCCTCCATAAACTTCCCTGCCCATCCTAATCTCTAACAAGGAGCTATGAATGGGTGGTCTGCAGATTCATTTTGTTTGGGCAGACAGGCTTTAGAAAAGATTCTGAATGCCTCTGAATAGGGCAAATGCTCTCCAGTTTGCCAAAACCCCTGCACTCCCAATGACCTGACACTTTTCCTCACTAATTTATATTAGGGCTTTGGGGCTTGCAGACTCTGAAAGCA